GAAAGTTAATTACATTGTAAGCTTATTAATTTATAATTTTGATGTTGTATTAATTATTTTTAGTATAAGTTTTAAATCTTATTTAAAGAGTTACTATAAGTAAAGAGTAATTAGTTAATAATATTGTTATTTTATAATCATTTTATTTGTAGTAAGTATTATAAGTTATATTGTTGATTTGAGAAAAAGTATTTAATATTATTATTTTATTTTAGTAATAATAAATCTAGTTATGTATACTGTTACCTACAATTTATTTATTTACTATATTGTTATTAATAATGTTACCTTTAATTCATTTTCAGTTTGTACTTTATTAAAATTAATTTTGTAAAGGATTAGAAGAAAGAGATCAAATGGTAACATATTCTTCTTACTAGTTATTTGTTGATAATGTAAGTTATCATTTGATAAGTAAGAAAATAATTAATAGATGTTAATAATAGGTAATGTTTTTGTATTTTTAGTATTAGTTAATGAATTATTTTAAAATAAAAAGGTAATATTTTAAGCTTTTATTTAGAGGATTAATCTTATGTATAATTGTTAATATAATAAAGAGTATATTAAAGATATAATAAAGGGGTATTTATATTAATTATAGTAAAAATCATTTAATATATTTTATTAACGTTATATAGGTATAAAACATTAATATAAAGAATTAATTTAAATTAGTGTGTAAATATATAGGATAATTATAATATAAAATAAAAATGTAATCATAAAGCTAATATATTTAAGGTTTGTTAAAGTTCTTGTGCATAATATTAATACAAAGATCAAAAAAATCAGGTATATCAATAATAATATTTGGTATATTAATGATAAATACAATTAATGAATATAAGCTAAAATGTAAATATAATAGATTTTTGATATAGTTAAGATTAAATTAGTGACTTATATATCAACTGTAAGGAGCAAATATATAAAATCTTTATTAAACAATTAACATAAATTATATATAAATCTTAATTTTATTCGTATGTTTTCTCTAAAATATACTTTATAAGCTTGTCTATTTGAATAGTTTTTTATACAAAAATATTATAATCGTATATACAACTTATATAATCTAGCTTAGTATCTATACTTACAATCAAATAAAGTTCCTTTAAGAGATTATCTAACATCGTATCTTAAATACAATCGTTACAAGGTTTAATCTACTATAAGAGAATAGCTTAAGTTTATAATCATAAAATCATTAACAATATAACATAGAGTAGAATTAAATTATAAGTAGTTGAAGGAAATAAAACCTAAAATATATTATTACTAATTAAATATTATTTAATATATAAGTTACGAAGGTAATGTACAACTAATCTTAAATAACAATAATTGATATTAATTAACAACTAAAGATTTATATTGTTATGTAACAACTATCAAAAATAGTGTTAGAATGCTAACCTTTAGATGATAGTTATAGGTAGAACATATAATCTACCCATACTACAAATATCTACTTATTATAACAAAATGAAAGTATTAATATATTACCTTTCTAAAATATTAATAAAGTAAATTATATGACCTAACATGATTACTAATTAATTTTATCATCAATTACAATTGAATATTAATCTTAAGTAACCATTTACTTTTATTTACTATTAATTTTATTAAATTATAAAATTATTTTAAGTCTAATCCTTTTACTAATTTTATAAATCCATTTAATGATTTTACGCCTTAACTTATGGTGAAGGTATAATAAGGTTAAGTTACAAGATATAATTAAATATATGAAGGCAGAGTAGCATTATGGAGTTAAGTATTAATTTTATAATGGAAGATAATATTTATACCTAAGTTTAATATGGAAAAATGATATTAAACCATTGATAGGTAAATATTGGGAATTAAAATTCCGGATTTTTATTGAATACAAATCTGGTACAGGTTCCCCTACACCAACCAGTTACGACTTAGAACCAATCCTGAAATAAATTCATTTTCAGCCCTTGACGGGCAATTAGTACATCTATCAGCAATAATTTCACCGTAACATACTTATTTACGATTACGCGCAATTCCCACTTTAGAATACCGAATTTCAGATATTCATCAGAACTGAAGTAATACGTCACAGAATAGCTGATAAACTGCAACTATTTCGTTTGATACTTTTGTGGCACGTCTATAGCCCTTTACATTAGGGTCATGATGACTTGTGTTGATCCCATGTTACTAATCCGAAAACTTATTAGGTTTGGGGTTTCGTTCTTTTACAGAATTAACTCAACGTTTCACAACAAGAACTGAACACAGCCATGCAACACCTGGTTAAACTGACTAGCAAAGGTAAGATTTACAGTGGATCATCTAATTAAACAACATGCTTCACTGCTTATTTGATAGACCATCTTTTCTTTTGAGTTTCTAGGTTGCCCTTATACTCCTCAGGTGGAATGCTTTTAGTTCTTTATGCATTCATCGTTTATGGTGTGGACTACAAAGGTATCTAATCTTTTTTGCTCCCCACACTTTGGTACCTTAATGTCAATGGTTCACGAAATATGCATTCACTTATTGATGTTCCTTCAAATTTATTTATATTCCATCATTACACTTGAAATTCCTATTTCATTTCTTTCCCATTCTAGTTTCCCATCTAATTACCCTTTACACCTAAAATACATAACGTTTATCCTATTCGTATTACCGCGACTGCTGGCACGAATTTAGTCAGGATATTAAATTATAAGCCTCATTATGTGCTTGACCTTATAGTCTTATATTTATTCTATTTAGCTGGAGCAAGGTTTCCCTTCTTGTCCAATATTCCTCACTGCTGACAAATTTTATTTTGTGTGATCCTTTTTTCATTATCACTGTGATTGATCATCCTCTCAGATCAATTATGGATCATTGACAAGAGCTTTATTTCTCCTTTATCTAATCCATTTATTATCCTCAAACCATACCAATTGCTTTTAACAGTTGAATTTATTGTTGAATAATTTTTTTACTCACCCTTTCGCCAAGTTTAGTTATTACCTCCCTCGACTAGCATGTGTTAAGCTAATAAATAACGTTCATGTAGAGCCAAGATTAAACTCATC